CAAGTTTTTGCTTTCAAGGCATATGCAGATAGTACACGTACTAATATTAGCTAGTTTCGTTTACACCCAGATAAAGAATGAGTGCACTTTAGGATGTTATCTAGAACCTTTTCGGCTATCCATTTGAAGCTTCGAATTACAACATATCGCAAAACTAATAAATGATTATGATGCAAGTATATGCTTTTGATATATATTACTCGATCTTATTGTCATACATATTTCTATAATTACCCACAACGTCATTGAAAAGAACAAGCCTTTAAAATTCCGGAAATTTGAACTGGGCCGCTTTCGAAATTAAAGTAACAGCAAATGGGCGGAGACATTTAGATCGCATAGAAGAGGAATGTAAACACGTAAACACACGTTTTTCACTACAGTGGATGCTTTTATGCAAAAAATAAAACATAACAATAATGAAAATAAATAAAAAATATTGAGAAGACTGAAGGTAATGCACTTTTAAATACCTTAAATGCAAGTTAAACTCCAAGGTCAAAACTGTTGGTACCCGATGGAATGTCTTCTCACAAGGAATACAACTGTGAATTACGAAAGGCTTAGAACTAACAAATCAAAAGTTATGGTCAAGGTTAAAGTTTTTTTTTCAGTGGGTCAAAGTCTAAGGTTAAGATCAAAATACTTGGTATCTAAAGGAAGGTCTTTCACAAGAAATATACCTGTGAAATATGAAAGAATTCTAAACACGGTTCAAAAGTTATAATCATAGTTAAATTTTTTTAAAAAGTGGGCCAAACTCTAAGGTCAATGTCAAAAATTGTATACCAGATGAAAGGTTCTGTTATAGTGAAAAAACATGTGACGTATAAAAGCCCTAGAACCAACTATTCAAAAGCTCTGGCTATGGTCAGAAATTTTTGTGTGAGTGGGTCAAACTCCAAGGTCAAGGTCACGAGGTCAAATTTGGTAGTTTCAAAAGGAAGGTCTTGTCACAAGGATTACCTCTGTGAAATATGAAAGCCATAGCCCTGCCCACTCAAAAGTTATGGACAAGGTTAAAGTTTTTGCGGACAAGCAGACAGCCTGAGGGCAAAAACTATTTACCTCCGAATCTTCGATTACGGAGGCCTGAAACCATTAAGAGAATGTTCAACTTAGATTACAATGACATGGAACTCAACACGAAGGATAAAACATTAAATACCATTATAACAAAACAGTAAAGAATCCTTTTGTATATCCTAAAAAAAAACTAACCTAGCTTGTAATAGAACTATAGCCCATTCTATATTTAGGGATCGCGTCATCAAGCCAATTATGTGGATTTAAGAGGTCAAACCAAAGACTGCTTTGTAAGTATACTGTATACACATCATTAAAGTCTGTTGCACTCGTGCATGCGAGCTCATCATATTAGTATATAAAGTGTTTTGAGTTTTATTTTATAAATAATTTATGTTCGGTTGAACTGGTGAATTTAGAACATAATAATAATTTTGCACCCCAGCTCGGCGCTCATGCGCAGTAGTGCCATCCTGACTACGGTCTTATGTTTGTGGAATTTCTAGAAGGAAGGTAATGTAATATTACAGAAAATGTAACTATATGCTTCGACAGACTGTTTTTTTCAAGTGTGTGGCTCATCAATTAAACTCGGAAATTTTTTTTTTTTTAAAAATATTGGTAAGTATTAGGATAATGACGAGTCCATTTATAACATTATCTGTTCAAGTTTTTGCTCTCAAGGCATATGCAGATAGTACCAATATCAGCTAGTTTCGTTTACACCCAGATAAAGAATGTGAGTGCACTTTAGGATGTTATCTGGAACCTTTTCGGCTATCCATTTGAAGCTTCGAATTACAACATATCGCAAAACTAATAAATGATTATGATGCAAGTATATGCTTTTGATATATATTACTCGATCTTATTGTCATACATATTTCTATAATTACCCACAACGTCATTGAAAAGAACAAGCCTTTAAAATTCCGGAAATTTGAACTGGGCCGCTTTCGAAATTAAAGTAACAGCAAATGGGCGGAGACATTTAGATCGCATAGAAGAGGAACACGTAAACACACGTTTTTCACTACAGTGGATGCTTTTATGCAAAAAATAAAATATATCAAAAATGAAAATAAATAAAAAATATTGAGAAGACTGAAGGTAATGCACTTTTAAATACTTAACAAAGTTGAATTTAAAATATAAAAAATATGTTACGTTGAATGAGAAAGGGTGCCTCTTCCAAAATTGTGGTGATTCTCTATGACCCCCTTTTTAGGGGTTCTCGTTTTAGGGCGGGACTTAATTGATTATATATAGAAAAAATGCATTAATTCTATGAAAATCTTCTTATCTGCTTCTGTGTGTTACGACGATAAATTATCTACATAGTAATGATGAGAAAGGGTGCCTCATCCAAAATTATTAATTTCATGATCTTGGGCCAGTTGTAGGGCTGGGCAAAAATATCGATATTTCGGTATATTGTAATATAATGACAAACAAGCTAATTCAGAGAATTTGTGTCCAACGCTTAGGGGAAAAAGAAGAAAGAGTTTGGGAGGGGGATCCCCTCTCCCCCTGAATTTGTAGAATTATTAAATGTTTGCATATATATCGAGGCAAATAAAAAATACCAATATGAATATAAACTGATCGCTTATTCTTTATTATGTGTATAGAATATTTATCACACTGTAATGATGATTTTATGTGTTTGTACAAAGCAGACGTTGTTAGATTATGAGGTATTTGATAGACGATGGACCCAGAGTGATGAACACATGGAAGCTGAACACGTTTATTCTATGACATAACAGACTCGCACATGAAACAAAAGAAATTATCTGATTGGCTAATAATGATACAGCATCAACTGGTTTTACTAATAAACGAAAGTCAGTAAAAAGGTCAAACTAATAACAGGAATATAACAGACGTCATAACTTTTTCATTTCACATACTGAATACTATATTTAATAATAACAAAAGTATTGAAAAAAAATTGGATCGACCGGGATTTGATCCCGGGACCTCTCAATGTTTAGCGAGAGTCATACCCGTACACTACGAAGCCACTTGCTCGTTTTTGAATTATGTGCAAACATTAGGTCACATACATGTATATATTCACGTTCGATATTGTCAAAATACATTGTGTCTAATCTAGCCTTTACTTTACTGTTCTTATAGTTGTAATAAGATAGAAAGTCCGCCGACAACCTGTATTATACTGTGACACGGAGATGTCGCGGAGTCCTTGGAGATTTCACTGCGTTTCTATCTCGTTTTTACTGCGCTTCTAATGAGATTTATCGTCTTGTGATTTTTTCGACTGCGATTACACAGCGACAGCACGGAGTTGTTACTGCGATCATTGCGCTCCCATGGCGTTTCTACAGCGTCCGTTTGCGATCACAATGCGCTTTCACGGCGTTGTTAGAGCGTTGTCAGCCAGCTCACAAAACAAGAGCAATGGGATCATATTTGATCCGCAATAATACGCAAGTTTCGAGATTATCTCCCTTGGTGCGCTCTTTCGTTGAGGAGGGGAGTTTCGTTGCTGAGTAAACAGACAGGTGGGACAGTTATTTATATATTAGATACATTGATCCGTCGATATTTTGGTTTATCATAAATACATCATTGTAAGGATGTACTTTACAACTCGAGAATAACCAAATTAATGTAAAGGCGTAATTTTTAAAGCAAAGACATCGTAACAAAAAAGAAAATATTAGTGGATTTGAGACTTTTCAGACGAGGGAACAGATACGGACCTCTAATAAATACGGTACAAATGCATCTGATCATTACACGTCGGCAATCTAAATGACACATTGATTCTTTTCCTTATTATAACTTCAAAAAACCCACTAACTTTTTAAGAAAATGTTTGTACAATCAAGAAAATCGGTTGCTTTTTATAAAGACTACGACGTTTCTTTCGTTTTCAAGTACCCTATAATTGAATGTAGATTTGTAAATATGCATAGTTGAGCTTGATAAAATCATCAAATGCATCACTGCTTTACATTATTATCTTTCCATAACATTTAGTAAATCTTAAAAGCCATAAATATCGTTCATTTATTTATGCACGTTTGTGTACAGAAACAACCTGTCCCACCTCAATGCTGAAATGAATACTTTTCGCGCCTCTATCGTAGGAGAGTTACGTATTTGTTGCACTAGGAGCATTTAAGTGAAAAAAAAAGTGGAAGAGAAAATTACACCAGAATTTGTTCTGTTGTTTCACTCAAATTTTGTAGAAAACGTTTCAGTGTGTTTATTATTTTTTTTTACATTCATAATAAAAGAAAATCTAACAACACATCTGAACCGATAAAATTGAAAAAAAGGAGTTTAATCATAAAACTATTAATAATTTAGTATTAAATTGTTTAAATAGAACAGTTTTGATTATTATGAATATTTCTTGGCATGATTAGAAGTCTTTTTATCGCGTAACTTGAATCTTGAAATTAAAATGTTTTACATTCCTTCTAAGTATATATCAATAAGTATAGAACGCATTGTGAACGTATTGTGAACGCAGCCAGCCAAGTGAGAACACCGTGAACACGAGGTGAAAACTCCTAACGCGCCGTGTAAACTCAGCGGAAGCGCAGTCAATCGCCGAAAGATCTCCGTGGGAACGCAGAACGCCGTGAGATCACCGTAGAATCGCGTCCGTCGCCGTAGGGACGCCGTGACATCTTCATATTATGAAAATTTTACAGAAATTTGTGAAATTTTCCTGCGATTCCACGGCGATTTAAAAAATTTAACAACGCCGTAATGACTCCGTGTGAACGCAGCTTGGTGTGACAGGGCCTTAAAAAAACATACACGCGGTATTGTAAAATAGATACTTTCTCTATTTTATAATACTGCGAATATGATTTGAAGCTTGCAATGGGTCCTTTACTTTAAAAGGAATGGAGTCCTACAGTGAGTACAGGGAACAGTTTTAAAAATAATTAAGAATTCTATTTTTTAATTCAAATTCTATTTCTTAGAGAATGGATTTTGAGGGGAAAGAGCGAATTCGATGTAATTACACGGCTCTAGTCAACGATGTGGATGCCGACAGAGTTAAAGATTTCTTGTATGAAAATGGAACAATCGAGCATGATGAACATCAGAGAATAGGAATAGAAAAAATAACGGATAATGCGAAGGTCCAAATACTTTTGGATATTCTTGATACAAAGATAAATGGATATGAGCAACTTCTTCTGGTCTTGAAAAACGATAACCGGGACGACTTAGTTGACTTACTCCAAGGAACCAATGTGGATATGGCAAAGGTTGAAGAAGGTAAACACTGCGTAGATAGCTTTTTTGTCGGATCTATAAAATTAGCACGAGTCACAAATTAGTGATAATGACTTACAACACGAATAATAAAAATTGTCAATATTTGCAGACGACCTGTGCTTTTCTTGGGTCAAAGTAAATATTAGAATACTTTCTGCTACGTTTTTTTTTTTAGACATTCTTATTCTATGATTTCATTTTTTTGGTTCGATGGAAAGAAAGAACCGAACTGAAAGAAAGAATCGAATCTTTTTCAGATTTCCTTTTCTTTGTTAGTTACATATAATTTTTCAATGGGGGACATATTGCACTTGCATGTATGGGACCAGTAAATGAATGCTCATGCAGCATTCTCACAATGATAGTTGATTTTTCAACATTTCCAATTTGCAAGAATTCAAAAACTATAGACAGTTTACATGTAGATTGTAATATTGCAAATGTACATGTTATTCTAAAGCATCTCTTGTGAATTACAACTTCTGTGTGAAATCAAATTGTTTTATAAAGCCTTAGATATAAGATCATTAAATGTGTCCTTATTGATTATTATCTTTTATAATCCTTATTGTTATTGCTACTTGTAGATTATTTTGTAGAAATGTAAGATTTTTAAGATTAGCTTACCTTTTACAGAGAGATCGAAAGAGCAAAATGCTCTGATTCAAGTTATTAAGTGCAACTTCGAAGAAAAGATGGATGAAACAATAGATGCAGATGTTTTAGAACATATAATCAGATTGGAATATTTGAGGGAAAGAAAAAAAGTATTTCCTGGTGAGATAAATAAGATTGAGAAATGTTTGAAAGAAGTATTTCCAGTCATAGAAATAAGAAAAGGAAGAAGCAAGAAAGCGTCTATGGCACAACCAAAAAAGTATCCTTAAAAAAATAATTGAAGTTTCATGAAATTATTTTGTGAATTGTAATTACAATGTTTGATAAGTCATTATGCATCAGATTAACAATATTTTCTATCTTAAAGGTGCATAGACACAGATTTGAAGTTAATATTTTCTCAATTTTTTCTATATAACTAGTATCGCCAGTCCGTGCTCAGTCTTCTGTACAGAGTTGAACGAATTGAATGCATCCGTAAAACATAAACTGTTTTTGTTAATAAGGCACCAGCTAGGTTGTTGACGCTCACGATTCACCGGTTGTGTTCAATTGTTAAAGTCTGCACACACCACTGAGCACGGACTGACATTATACTATGAGCGCGTTTTCCTTTCAAACATTTTTACTCTGAATTTTCTAAATTATAGTTTTAATATTTTTCATTAATTTACAACGAACTTGCCACTTTTCTTCTGTATTAAGAATAAATTTATAATTTGAGAAAGTGCAAGGACGTGTCAATTAAATGCGACCACAAAATCGAAGTTTCAATAACTTAGAAATGATATAAGATTTTTATTATATTTTTTGTGAAATGCTCTTGCAATATATAAGTCGTAGTATTCTACATAAAATATAAGAAAATGTTAACTTCAAATCTGTGTCTATGCACCTTTAAATCTTTGATATCCATATATCGAGAATCATAAATGACTGTACATTTGCTTGTTGTCATTTTCTTACAGCTTACATCCACCAAATAAAACCACCATCGTACTCTTTTTTTTTTTTTGGGCTAATTCGAGGCAGTTAATCGAAATTGATAGTAGACTTTGATAGTAGAAATCTTCTTCTCAAGAACCACTAGTCTAGAAAAGCTGAAACTTATGTGGAAGCATCCTGGGGTAGTGTAGATTCTAAATTGTCCAAATCATGACCCCAGGGGTAGGGCGGGGTCATAATAGGGAACCCAATTTTTACACTAAAATATTTAGGAAAAATCTTCAAAAAATCTTCTGAAGAACCACTGGGCCAGGAAAGCTGAAACTCAAGTGGAAGCATCCTGGGGTAGTGTAAATTCTAAATTCTTCAAATAATGACCCCCAGGGATAGGGCGAGGCCATAATAGGGAAACCAAGTTTCACATTAAAATATATAAGAAAAATCTTTAAAAATTTCCTCTAAAGAATCACTGGTCCAGAAAAGCTGAAACTTATGTGGAAGCATCCTCGGGTAGTGCAGATTTTAAATTGTTCAAATCATGACCCCCCAGGGGTAGGGTGGGGCCACAATTTGGAATCCAAGTTTTACATTGGAATTTATAAGATTTTTTAAAAAAAAAAATCTTTTTCTCAAGAACCACTGCATGGGCCAGCCAGAAAAATTTTAACTTATGTAAAAGCATCCTCGGGTAATGTAGATTTTAAATTGTTCAAATCATGACCGTTTCAAGAAATATATATAATTACTAAATAGCTAGGAAATTCATGTATTTACTGAAAATCTACCATATTTTATACATTGTTTATCCTCGGATCTACGTCGTTGAAATAAGGTACTAGAGGAGTCCGGGTGATTTCGCTCCAATAACCTGTTTGCGCTGAGTGGTTTCGCGCAAATGTGCCCCACACTTAGTGAAACTGTTTTCCTGAATAAAGAGTAAGACATTTTTACATTACCCAGTTACATCAAATATTGTTATACGAAAGAAGTTTTAATTTACTCTCTTTCTTCTTCTGATTGTTTCCTTGACATTTGAAAGATTGTACCAGCACATTCACCAGAAATGTACACAGATAGAACTCAACTCGGAAAGTAAATCAGGTACGAGAAAATTCTATCACTTAAAACTGATAGTCTATCACAAAAGCGAAAGAGTCTATCTACTGCGTCGCTTAATAATCTTTGGATATCTAATTCTATATTTTTTATCTTCGTAATTGGCACCTTTTATCAAGGTAATGAAATTATAGACTTTTGAAATCTTGAACTTTATTACATACTTAGTAATAAATCCAGGATTTTTGCATATGCGATATGGCTGACGTCACAATAGCCGTATAAGCCCTGCAGGGCTGATATGGAGTTGCGGGGCTGATATAGGTTATTAGCGGGGCTGATACGGATCAATATCACACCCCTAGAAAATCAAACCTCAAAAAACAGTTCTTGTGATCATACACATATTTTGGGGGTTATACGTCCTCTTAATTTTAACTTTTTGAATGTAAGGATTATCTAATTGCAAACCATAGATTATTTTCAAAATACAGATCGGGCACATTTGAAATAGAAGTACATGTAGAAACAAACTTAAACCGTATGAGACAATAGACCATGTTACTTATTTTCTTCTCAACTTAATGTGTACTGTATTTTATTACTAAGTATGTAATAAACATAATAAAACATACCCTTTTCCACATCACATCCTGCACAGCCCTCGACCAATATCAGCCCTCGGGCCTTCGGCCCTCTGGCTGATATTGGTGTCTCGGGCTGATACAGGATGTGATATGGAAAAGGGTATGTATTATTCTCTATGTATTATTTCTTAGAAAGGTAAATCTAAAATAATCCAAGAGAATGTATATTAAATAAAAAGATTCATCTTAATTCTCAACAGACTTACAATTCTTTGAACAAGTATTACAAAGGATTATTACGATGACATGCAGGAGAGTCAATACGGCTAATTCGAGATTCGCAATACGAGATTCAAATTTCGAGATTGACAGTTTTATTAAAAAAAGTCATTTATTGGCATTAATTTGAGTTGGAGAAGCATTTTTAATTGGAGGTGTATAAAATGTTTACCAGTTTGCTAAGACCGTCATATTGCCCCAAATGGTACAACAATGAGGGAAAACAATTGTATTAAATTTTTTATAAAGGATAACTCAAAGGACATTTTTTTTGCTAAAATTTTAACATGTTCAAACCTCGTCAGAACCTGTCAATGTAAACACGAAGTAGTGTCCCACAAATAAAGTAAAAATGCATTAATTCTTTGAAAATCTTATTCTCTATTTCTGACAATCAGTCTCTATTTCTGGAAAATGTTTAAATTAACTATGTGTTTTGTTATTATAAGCAAGGATGCCTTTTTGAAAATTTTGAATTTCATGGCTCCTCAGTCAGGGGTTCTACATGTATTGATAGTCATCGACCGTCGTGTATCGTGTGACATTCGAACATTTTCAGCTTCTTCTCTGCAACCCTTCAACCAATTTCAACAAATTTTGGCGAAAACCATCTATGGTCGAAGGGGAACAAATATAGTAAATTTCATGGTCCCTGCCCCCCTGGGACCTGAGTGGTGGGGCCAAACCTCTGAAATTAATGCAATCTTTAAAAATCTTCTTATTTACTCCTGGACATCAAGCAGTCAAACTGCTGGCATGATTGTAAAAAACATTAAGTCCTCTACAAAAATTATGAAATTCATGGCCCCCTAGGTCACGGGTTCTGGTTTTAGGGCATGGCTATATTGATTATACAATGTATATTGAAAATGGATTATGTCTTTGAAAATCTTCTCTGCTCCTTGGTATGAAATAAACTAACAGTGTATATACATAGTTATGATGAGAAAGGGTGCCTTTTTCTAAAATTAGGAATGTCATGGCCCCTGGGTTAGGGGTTCTGGTGTTAAGGCGGGCTATATTGATTATATATTGAAAATGTATTAATTCTTTGAAAATCTTCATCTCTGCTCCTTGGTATGAAATAAACTAACTACATGTATTTACATAGTGATGATGGGAATGGATGCCTCCTCTAAAATTGGGAGATTTATGGCCCCAGGGTCAGGAGTTCTGGTGTTAGGACGTACCAAGGGAGGGGGGCTCTAATTATACCGGTATTCTGAAGATGAATTAATGATCTGAAATCTGCTCCTTGGTAATAGTCTAACATATTAATGATAAGCAGTCGTGCCCTTTCAAAAATTGTGAAATTTTTGGAACCAGAGTCAGGGGTTCCTGTGGAGTGGGGTCACTACAGATTATTGTTTAATATTACTGATAAGTCGCAATGTATTACTTTCTTCCCCTACTCTGCCTATGGGTACTACGTAACCAAACTAAACATGATAAGTGTATACAGTAGTCATGATGAGCATTGGTGCCTCTTTCAAAAATTGTGAATGTCAAGGCCTATGGTTTAAAACATGAACCAAAGTCAAAAATTTGAAAGTTACCTATATCTACATCACCTATAAGGCCCATTGGCCTCTTGTTTCAAAATTCCCCCCTCTGCTCCCTGATGATCTAAAATTCAATAGTTATGATGAGCAAGGGTCACAAACTTGTGAATTTCTAAGCCGCAGAGTCGGGTCAAATAATGGGAGAGGGTTCTTATGATTATACACTGAAATGAATTAATGTTTGAAATCTTCTCCTTGGTATTAATCAAACAGTTATGATGTGCAAGGTTGTGTAATTTGAGGGTCAAGGATTCCATTGGGATGGGCACTAGTGATTATTTTTTGGAAATGCAATATTAAGCTCTTCTGGTTATCCGATAGTTATGTGTCCATCGTCCGTCTGTCTGTTTTAACAATTGTTTTTCAAAATACTGCTCCTCTTACAGTTTTGCTCTGATTTTAATATAACTTGGCACACAAGCAGACTACACTAAGATACATAACTCTATATATCGGTTTTTGATTTTGATGAACGTTATTGCCGTGGTTACTAAAATAGAAATTTCTGTGAAATACTTTAAAATTGTTACACCTTCTACAGTATTGATCTGATTTCAATATTACTTGGGACACAAGTAGCCTCACTGAGATAGATATAATTCTGTGCATCGGCTTTTGATTTGAATGAGCAGTGTCGCTGTGGTTATTTAAGGTAGGATTCTTCTCACATTTCTTGTATTTAAAAATTAATAAAATTTTCACAGAATCAATAGGACAATATCACTAAGTGATGGTATCAGTGAGATTAAATTTGACCGTTTGATATTAGAGGCAAGGTCAGGTCAAGGTCATTACCTTTTTCCTGAACAATTACTGTTTCCAGTCATGCGATCCCTTCTTGTAATTTAAAAGATTGAATGTTTTTTTTTTGCATAAAAAGATACTACCATATAGGGCCTATAAGATGATATTACCAAATTGACATGGATAATTCAAATAAAATGGATATTTGCTAATCCGAATTTCCTCTACTTTTCTTAATTTTTTAGGATTTATTAGTTATTTTTATATGCTTCCTATATTTAAATTTTTATCAATTTTCACTTGTAGTAAAGTTGACACATAAAGGTACAAAATGGTACAAAAACTAAAAGTTCTGATCGTTTACTAAGAGAGAAATAACACATTTTACGGATTTTTTGCTCAAATCTGTACTTTGATTTGAAGCATTTAAAAGCCAACATAGTTATAGAATGTGTGAAAAATCTTATTTATTTGATATATTTTGAAACTTTAGTCCCTTATTATTAATTTAACTTACATTTCAAAATTTCGTCTACTCTTTAATTGCGTCAAAATTATAACTAAATTTAATGTTTTATAATAATTTTGAGAGGCAGAAAAGAAGATATTTTCATACGCCACCATATATAGTCCCTGCTAGTTTTCAAACGCAGTTTACCATTTCTATTTAAAGTTGTATAATTGTGATGAGGAAAGAAAAATTTGGTCTTTTAAATCTCTTACATCTAAATATATAAGAAATATAAACAAATGTACTTTGAATATTCCATCTAGTCAGAAACCAGAGAAGAATCCTACCTTAAAGTAGAAATTTCTGTAAAATACTTTTAAATTGCTACTTCTACAGTTTTAGTCTAATCATAATACAGGATACATAATTGTCTTTATTGATTTTTTTGGTCACCTGAGTAAACTCAGGTGACCTATTGCTATCTGTTTTGTCCGTCGTCGTGCGTCGTCCGTTAACATTTGAACATTTTCAGCTTCTTCTCTGCAACCACTGAACCAATTTCAACCAAATTTGGCACAAAGCATTTATGGGTAAAGGGGAACCAAAATTGTGAATTTCATGATCCCTGCCCCCCTGGGGCCTGAGGGGTGGGGCCAAAACCACTAAAATTAATGCAATCTTTAAAAATCTTCTTCTTTACTCCTGGACATTAAGCAGTCAAACTGTTTGCATGATTGTAATCAGCAATGAGCCCTACAAAATT